TCACCACGTATGTAAACACAAAGAGTGGTTTGATAAATATAAATCAATAGCTAACGAAATAATTTATTTGGCGGATAGTAAGTCAAGTGATACATTAAAGGCAATAGATATAGGTGATATAAATATACAGACTTATGTTGATAATAGAAGATTTAACTTAATACTACTTAATGTATATCGCGTTCCTAATATAATACGCAATTTGTTATCAGTCTCACAGATAGAAAAGAAACATAAAAGACTTATGATAGATAATGGAAAACTTAAAATTCAGGATAAAGGAAATAGGATGATAGTAGGAGAAGCTCCATGTAAAAATGGATTATATATTGTTAAAGCTAAAGTTTTGAAAAATAGAAACGGATTAAATCAAAGAGAAACAAATATTATGTATAATAACAAGTTGATTGATAGTGAAAAGTGGCATCAAAGATTCTGTCATGTAAATATAAAAACAATTCAAGAGTTATCAAGAAAAGATTTAGTGGCTTAGATGGTGTAAATATAATAGACGTACATTGTAATGATTGTAGCGTTAGTAAAACTACAAAAGCATCTTGTAAAGGACTAAGAGGTAAACAAACAAAAAATGTATTAGAACTAATACACTCTGATTTGTGTGGCCCCATGCCAATAAAATCAATTGGTGGAGCAAAGTATTTTTTAACATTTTCTGACGATTATTCTAGAAAGGTAACAGTTTATTGCTTACAGAGTAAAGACGAAGTAGCTGAGTACGTTCGCAAATACATAATTAGAGTAGAGAGAGAAACGGGCAGAAAGGTGAAAAGATTTAGAAGCGATAATGGATTAGAATATTGTAATAAAACTCTAAAAGGAATTTTTGATGAAATGGGGATAAAACACGAACGAACGTGGACACACCACAAATGAACGGAGTGGCAGAACGAATTAACAAAACATTATTAGATCTAATACGTGCGATGCTTAAAAATTCTGAGTTACCTGAAAGATTTTGGGCTGAGGCAATAGTAACTGCGTGTTACATTAAAAATAGAGTCATACATTCGTCTATTGATGATATTCCAGAAAAGATTTGGACGGGAAATAAACCAAGTGTGAAACATCTAAAAGTTTATGGTTGTCTAGCTTACGCATATATTGTTAAATAAGGTAGGCACAAGCTTGATTTTAGGGAGAGAGAATGTATACTTGTTGGATACTCAAGTCAAACGAAAGGATACAGACTATGGAATCCAATTAAAGGTGATGTAATTCAAACAAAACACGTAGAATTTGTCGAAGACGTTTGCGGATATGAATACGTTTACAACAAAAAGATATTAGAGACTCCTTTTAATGACATTGATGATATAGATGAGGTAGATAATACAGATACTGTAGATGAAGATAATGATTTAGTCAAAGTTGTAAATGAAAAAGTTGTAGACGATAAAGCAGAAAACATTAATTCGCAAAAGGATATAACAGAGGTGAGGCGTAGCGTAGGTAGACCGAAGAAAATAGTTAGAAATCCGTGGGGCCGTGCAGGAAAGCCTAAAAATATAGAACTGAATTTAACAGAAATAGTTGAATCTTTAACGTACGAAGAGGCTATAATGTCATTACAGTCAAAAGAATGGAAAGCGGCAATGAATGAGAAAGTAAAAAGCCTGAATGATAGAAACACATGGGAGATAGTAAGCAAACCAGAAAATGTTAACTGTATTGGAAGTAAGTGGGTGTACAAAGTTAAAACAGATTCGACAGGAAAAATAGTAAGGTACAGGGCTAGAATAGTTGAACAGGGTTTTTCACAAAAGAAAGATATAAATTATACGGAATCATATGCACCTGTCGCAAATATCTCGTTAATTAGACTATTAATAGCCATGTCAATATCACATAATTGGACAATGCATTACTTAGACGTAAAATGCGCTTATTTTTATGGAAAAATTAAAGAGGAAATTTATATGAGATTACCACCTGGACATAATGATTACAATTTAAAGGTAGCAAAACTTTTAAGACCAATATTTGGCTTTTGTGGGCGCCGTGGCAGAGGTAGCTAAGTCATCGCTATACAAAGTCAAAGCTGCAAAGGAACCAGGTTCAAATCCCACCGAGAACAAAGGAAGAAAAAATAGAAAAAATAAAAAATCGGCGTCCCACCTCTCGGAAGGCAATGGCAAACCACTGAGAGTACTTCTGCCAAGAGAATCTAGATGGAGACGACAGAATACGAAGTGAATGGAGTCGGATGATCCGGCTGACCACCGGTACTACCTAACCGGGCTAGGCAGTGTGAAATGTGCGACCGGCCATGTGCGCGCGGCGTACCAGGCCGCACACCGAAACTACGCGACTGGTGCCAAAGGAACTTCAATAAGACGTCCTCGGCGTATCGGAACATGGAATGTATGAGGCCTCAAGAAAGAGGGGAAGCTCCAAATAGTGAAGGAGGAGATGCTAAGGAATAACATTCATCTGCTGGGACTAAGTGAAACCCACTGGCAAGAGTCTGGCCACTTCACGTCCAGTTCCGGTAGTACGATATACCACTCCGGGAGAGATGGAAGCAGCAAGGGGGTAGCATTCATAGTTCCCCCACAGCTTGATAAATGGATCGCAGGATACATACCTGTAAACGACCGCATCTTTTTCTTATCTTTTTTTAATTTTCTGTATTTTTTTGCAATTTCTTTCGTAGTATCTGATATATTCGTTATTATTAAGAAAATTACCTTTTAAAAAAAGGTAAAAAAAGGTGTCAAGTGTAGGCATACATTTTGAACAAAAAATTATTGTACCAAATTAAAAAATAAAACCCAAGTGATTCTGTCTATAATTAAAAAACAAATAGTTAAATGATACGTATCTTTATAAAACTGTTGTACAATTAAAAAGTAAAACTCAAGTAATGCAATCTTTAATTGAAAATTAACTTTAATTATTTAACTAAAATTGTATGTTTCATGTGTAAAAAAGTTTTGATATCAATAAATGACGCCAAGTTATAATTTCTTAATAAAATATTCAATTTAAATCATACGTATCGTGTAGCGTTTGTATTAAAGTAATTAAATATTTGATATCAATAACTAACGCCAAGTTTTAATTCCATAAGAATAGAATAACTTTCTCAATTCCAGCAATATGTTATGTAATTGTACCAAATCAAAAAATTAAGTACCCAAGTAGTACTATTTAATTAAAAAAAAATAAAATCTAATCTAAGTAAATGATATTTAACTTTATAAAACTGCTATATCCAATTATAAAGTAAAATCCAGTGATACTGTCTTCAATTAAAAATAAAAATTGCGTTAGCTTACTCGACCCAAGTAATATGCACTACTAAATGACACTGTAATTAACATTTCTATGAAATAAAAGGTTTCATCACAAAAAATTAAAAAGGTAACAACAGTACAAAAAGAAAAAATTAATTTAAATACAATTTTTCATGTAAAAAAAACTTGACGCTGCTAGACTTTCATATATATATATGTGTGTAACCGAGTATTACAGGCGTGTAAATTAAAATTATGTATAAGATATAAATTTCAATTTCGTGCATGCATTATATGCTGCAAAAATGATTTAAATAGCTTATAACAGAAGTTTAAATTATTAATGCGTGCAATATAAAAGCGATTATATGTAGAGTATTAATATAAAGTATATACGTTTGATTGTATGTATGAAGGCTCTACTATTGTATTTTAATAA